AGAGGCACAGCTTCAGGTGTTGCGGACAGCGTTACACGACGCAAATTTGCCAGAAAATTCAAGCCAACTCGACCAATGGAACGACACTCTTGAAGGTTAGTGTTGAAAAAAAAAAAAAAAAAATCAAACAATATCGCTTTATGCCATACTTGCAAATAGTCCCATATTATTGAACACAGCACAAGCGTAGGTAATAATACACAAGTGTGTCTGTTATTTGATACTTTCCTTTGCATTCATACGTATATATTTCTAGAAACTGAGAGAAAACCCTTTCGGGTATTTTCCTCTTTAGTAGCCCTCAACAATGCAAAGCATAAGATAGTCAGGGGTTACTTCTCTCCCTCATCACTAAATTGAGTGCGGAATGAGAGATACTGGCAATTCTTTTGTCTTCTTTGACTGATGAATTCTTAGCGATTCTGCCAAATCATGAAAGCTTGCTGACTTTGTTTCCATCAGAGTTTCTCGCTCCCTCATCAAGTAATTCCTCGGCTCTATGTATTACGAAATCCGAGGCTAAGCCTTAAGGGTGTAATAGCTGTGGAGGTAATTATAGTTTCTTTATCATGTCTGGCGGAAAGGTACGTTGTATTACAGTAGGACACCGATATGACGAACCTCTCTAACGACTCTGGGTCCTCGGTGACTAACGATATGCTATAGGAAAAGCAATAGTGATAATTAAAAACCTCGATTTAATGAGACCGCGTTATAGTGAACTTTGCCAGTTAACTGGCTCACTTTTATCTCGGTTCGTATTTACTGTGATTTCCAAACATTTAGATCGACTATATATATCATGAAGCTACTAACACTGGAGCGTTTTTTACTTTCTTTACGTAGGGCGACTATCCGGTCTGCAAAGTTCTCGAGATGATTTTGAAGAGCCATTCGATGCCTCATCGGGAAGACAGTCGCGACGAGTGGAGTGTGAAGGGAATTCTCGGTGTCAAAAAAGCAGAGCTTCGACACGGCTAAGAAACGAATCATCACAAACTAAAGAATGTGAGAACAGTAAAACTGTTGCCACTTTCCTCTTTTCTACTGTGTAACAGGATTGATACTTGAACTTAATTTATTTTTTTTCCTTTTTCCGTCTTTAGTTCTCAAAAAGTGCAATGTTTTTGATCTATGAATACATGAAATAACTGAATTTTTAATTAAGAAGAACTTCATACCATAAACGGTTTCCTTAGTTTTTCTTCCCGGGTTTGTTTGTAGATAACCTCGTACTAAGTGCACTTTGCTTCGCGGGCATCCGTTGCCTTTACTGCTAGGTGGTGTCCACTTTTAAATCCATTTTCAATGGTTATATTTCTTCCAAGCTAAGAGGACAACATTGTGCGATTCCTTATTATCTTTACATTTTCTTTTAACGTTTTTCTGTTGTTTTTGGTTTCAGATCATTTCAGGTATGAGGGAGACTTCGATACTAAAGGTGTTATTCACTACCTCGGTTTCAATGCCGGAGTCAGTATGTGGCTGAATCCTGCGCGAGTATCGTCATCCGGAGTGAAAGTAACCTACTGCGATGGTAATGGTCGTGGAGACCCTGAAAATATCTTAGAATATTTCACTCCCGGCAACAGTTCCACACGAACTGGATGGTGTCTGGATCTGGGAGATTATTACACGCTGCGGCTTACCGACTACACTGTGAGGCAGCTCGGAAGCAATGACAGAAACTTTCTTCAAAACTTTGAACTCCTTGGCAGGCTTTGTAATGACGATGATTGGTGTGTACTGGGCAGGCATCATCAAGTTGATTGGAGGTCGCAGCGTTTTTCACATATGCTGTCAAGAAATAAAGACTTGTCATATAAAACAAAAACGTGGTCTGTGAAAGGAGAAGTAAGAGCTTACCGCCAGTTCAAGATAGTTCAGATAAAAGACATGTCGACCAGTGTGCCAGGCACGCATGCTATGTCCCTGGCTGGTATCGAGTTATATGGAGTACTCAGTGTGCCATATTTGGACTAGAAAGAGTTATTTGACTTAGGGGTGTGTTTATATTTAACTTCGTTCCCAGAGTGTTCTCTCTGAGTAGGAGAACACCCTGGGAAAGAACCATGATTTATATGAGTTTCGCCATTCTGAGTTGATATGTTTTTGTAGAGTATACAGAGACTGAAAACGTTTCTCGACAGCGGCATAAAAGATTACAGTACAGAGAAATTATAAAGTTTACCGTATTGATTATCGACAGCAGAATATCACCTGTCTCTCTTTATATGGACGCTAATTTATCAGAATAGACACTATTATATCTGTTGAAACTGAAAGTCATTTCTGTAAATAAATTTTAACGCATACATAAGGAAAAAAGCCCACCCTCCGAAACCAAGAGGCCACTAATTTAATTAGGACAAGAAATTCACTGGTTAACAAATTAAATTAAATTCTCGGGCTCTTATTATCGCCCAACACGTACAGTGAACAAAGACCGAAAGTTGTCAGTGTTTATTCCACGGGGCTTTATATTTATTAAAACCGTAAATAGATTAAGCCTTGAAAAATACTTCGACAGCATTCACAGTCGGCTACAAATATAGAGATCTGAAGAACGCGTTTATTCCAAATACAAGAGATTTGTAAATACAGATTAAACTAACATACGAATATATTTCTATTTAATTTGTCCGTGCTCTGAAACGCTCGTGGTTGCCTGTAAACGTACATAGAGCATGCTACCCCGGGAGAGAGTATGTGCCGCCCCAAAGGGTATGGTTTTTTCGCCCTTTTGGTTTGAAAACGGGCATAAACTTTTGCCCGATTTGGTCTGAATTCGGGTATGGTTTTCGAGGGAACTACGGAAGTATATGAATGTATGCAAATTCAAAATGGGTTTTGAGAAACCTTTTTAGGGTTAGTCTTCTAACAGTTATGGTGACATAATTTCTTACAGGCCAGGTTTTCAAACGGTGTGGAAAGTGACATTTTTGGGTCTGAAATAGGGTCAGGACTTGGAGAACCGGGCGGCACACCCCACGACCACCAAGAATTCCAATGAGTGCCCCCCCCCGGGATGCCACCAGTCTTGTTTGACTTAAAGATCATTGTAGACCGTATTATTTAAATATTTTTTCCTTTTTTAACAAATTTAAACTCAATAGTACAGAGGTGAAAGAGAGTGATAAAACAAAACCAATCGATTGGCAAGTCAAAGCTTTGTTTGAGACTTAGTATAAGGCTCTACAGAAAGTAATTAATGAGGTGCATATATAAACTTTGCTTCCAGTACATATACGGTAAAACGTGTGTTAATACAGGTTGATTGTCTGATAATATCAACTAAAATAAATTGTCGATAGAAAGTTGGTACGTGAACGCTTGATTGACGGGGACCGCTAAATACGTGTTGACCTCGCTTGATGAGGTTTGACTGCTTCCTGGAGAAAAAGAACTAGACTTTTTTCCTTTAATGAATCGCACTCAAGCACGAAATTAATCAGGAAAACGTTCTTTCAGCTTAAGTAAAAAAAAACAAAAACCTTGAACCCACATCTTGGGGAACTTTTCATCCATTTTCCTCATCTAGTCAATTCTTCCAAACTTGACACAATTCAGTAAAGATTTATCCTTTCAAAAGTATTAGCCTTGTGGGAAGAAGACACCCTAATTTTACTGAACAAGAATAAGAAAAATAATAGAAAAAAATTAAGTGAGTAGCTGGTACAAAATAGATAGTTTTTCGCAGCTATTTACGAGAAGCCGAAAATGGGAAGTCTGAAGCCCCGACTGTAAGTCTTTCTTTCTTTTTTATAGCGGAGCTCTCGAGCGCGCGAAGCGCGCGCAGCGGAGCAACATCGGTAAGAAAATTTGGTAATCTATGCATCCTAGAAATTTTGGTTCTGAGAAAGTCGTCCGTACGGAGTACGTCCGCACGTACTCCACTCCTTCATGCAAGCGGGGATGAAATTTTGCATTTCAAGCACACGCGCGTTTTAGCGTTAAATCGCATAGCTTCCCGGACGTTTAGAGATAAAAACAACAAAAGCAAAGCCGATTCTTTCTTTCCACTTAATTTTAATGTCTACATTGACATTGATAACAGAGAAAAAGCTAGAGCGCGAGATAAAAAACAAAGGAGACCAATTTCGTTGGATAAAAACATGAAAATTTTATAGCAGCGGTGAGAAAAAGGAGAGGCTAGCGGCCACCAAGGTGAAAATGAGTGGCAGCCAAAAAAAAAAGTGAACAAGAGCACATAACACGTATAACCAGGAAGTTTCTGGAAGTTTCTCGTTGTAGTCGTGCAAAACAACGGCGAAGAAATGTACAAAAAAAGTGTGCTGCATGTGCAAAGATGTTATTTTGCTAATTAGGTCTACTGATTGTTTTTGGCTGTTTCTGTTGTCGTCAACGCTTAGCATTATACGATTAATTTTTATATTTTGTTTTAGTAAACTGAAGATATAGAGCTTCGCTTTAGCCCTGGCTAAATCTATATGTTATATCTTGGCAAGTGTATGTGAATTTTTTGTGTCGCCGGAAACAACAAAGAGAACTGACAAACTGCCAAACTTAAGACTTCATTGGCATTTACGTATTTTTTGTACTACATAGATCCTTCATTAAAACCAAAACCTTGCGTTTCACAACATGTTAACGATTAATAATGAAAAAAATAAAATAGACAAATTAAAGTGATCGGCTAAACCCTACTGAAGTTATTCGGACCACGAATCAAATACTTACCCTTGGAGAAGAAACTGAGGACAACTGCAGAACTCTAACAATGTTCGTCACTACTAAGTTCGATCATTTGGAACGTTTTAACTTTTTTGGGTGTTTCTATTTTAATTGTGCGCAACAATCAAACCTTTCTTAGATCTCAGTCAATCATTCAATCAAATATATTGGTACATCCAATTAAAATGGGTTTTCTCATACCAATTACAATAAAATCTAATATGAACAATAGAAATCTAAAATAAACATTTGAAAGTGATAAAACATTACCATATTATTTAAAAAATATAAAATATGCATAATTA